AATAATTCTCATTATAGAAAAAACTTCACGTTTATATGTGTTGCCAAGGAAAAATGTCTATGCTGTATCAAATTTCTTAAATTTACAGAAGATATACATAGTAAAATCCATTTTATTTTAAAAGACGTATGTTATCTGTTTACCAACCAGACCTTAGTGATTGTGTTATCTGTGAATCTGGGATGCTTTTATTTTATACTCTAAACATTTCCAAATGGCTTGTATTTAGACAGTGAACATGTATTACCTCTAAAATCAGTAAAAACATTATACTTCCATTTTAAAAATATGACAAAATAGACGTGCTTCAAATGAATCACCTAAAATTAATCAATTAAAAATTATTAAATATTGGGCAGTGTATATCAGGCAATAAAACTGTATTCTGTGATGTAATTACATTAGTAAATAATTCCTCTCTAATGATGATCATTAGTCTAAAAAGGACTGTTGTTGAGATGATGTTGGTCCTAATATAAATACATTCTCCATACAAATCTTACCTTGCATTTCTTTTGTGAAGAAATGAAGAAACTCATCCCATTTCTACTTTAACTCAGGCCATGGGGAGTTTTTCATGAGACACAGGGTCTGTGGCCTTTGTGCTGAGATTCTGGTATTTCTTATAATGTGTATTCAAAAACATTTATTGTATCTGAAAGAATAAATTAACTTCACAGAGAATCATAAAAGTTGAAACTAAATGGCAGGTAAATTCATAATTAATTTAATTGTACTGGTAAATGCAATTAAAAACATTTCTTCTAAATGAACAGGACACACTGATGAGGAAGAAAGTGCTTCAGAATCTGAGTTTTGGAAGGGGCCGCTGCCAGAGACAGATGAAAAATCACAGTAAGTGCTGAGATCAGTAAATACTACATTCCCCTTTAATCAGCTTGGGAAGCAGTGACCATAGCTATTCTTGATAAGTTAATGAAAAAAATGTAATACCATGAATGTTTATTTAATACTAAGAACTACCTACCCCGCTAAGATGAATGTTTATTATGAACCATTGTTTGTGGCCATAAACAGCCAACACATCAGTTCACTTTACCAGATACCCTCTGCCCTTGAATTTCTTCAGAGAGGGGTGTTTAGCACCCAGGACCTTCTGTCCCATGAGGTTAGAATCGTCATGATCAATACTGGAGAGGCCCCTTGAAGGCTTACACAAGTGTAGAAGAGTCCTTGCTTGCACCCGTCTCAGCCTCCGGACCACAGATAGCTCTGTGCTTATTCTCTACTGTGTTTGAAGATGAAGTACTGGGTGTGGGCTGGAACGTTGTTGGCTCCTACCTTACACTAGGATGTTCATCACTGGAATTTTCTGTATTAAAAAGAGGTGGTTACCTGCCACAAGGAGCCTGTTGAGAAGAGTAAATGAAAGGAAGATATGGCACTGCAAACAGTGCAGTCAGTGCCCAGGCAATTTCAGGGTCATTTCACCAGGCCCCTGCCACATTAGTCCATAATGGAGATATTCATGAATATAAAATGATTGTAAAGCATTTTGGTAATTACACAATAGGTTCTTATATAATATATAGGTTCTTACATACTAGAACTCAGGTGTGTTAGAAGTTTTTAAGCAACACTTACTTTTGCTCTTTTCTGTGGCCTTAATCTTTTATTTTTTAGCCAAGTGGAGAATTTCCAAAGATAAAGTTTTCAATAGGTAGGATTATTTTAAAAGCTATTGCTTTAGATCACATACTGATGTCCAGTTTAAACTATTTACTGAGCTTCTACGTGTTTACCGGGGACCTCCCCTTGAAGAGTGTCACAGCTGGAAATGATAGATGAGGTTATAGACTCAGCTCTCCCTAGGGCACAAAGACCCAGGAATGAATGCTTTGAAGGAAGCTTTTGTAATACAACCTTTTTGATACTGCTGAGTGCTGAGCATCTAAGTCTACCTCGTGATTTCACCAGCTTCGTACAGTCAGTTCTCACTGCAGATCTGGAAATCCCAGTACATTCTGCTGTCATCCTGGTGGAAAGGTGGCAGAGAAAACCAAATTGTGGCTAATTCCTTAATCATATTTGATTGTGTATTGTTTTTCTTTAAAATTGAACAAGTTGTTACGGCCTTATGCATCCTCAACTAAACCAAATGATGGAGTCATACTCCATATAATATCTGAATAAAGGAACATTTTCTAGAGAGTGTTAGACTGTTTTTACTATTCATCTTGAATCTCTGTTCCCAGAAAAAAAAAAACAACTGTGTTCACTTAATCCTCACAGATCTATGAGGGAATACAAATTACTTTCATTCAAGTGAGGACACTGAGTTCAGAGAAATTAAGCAACTTGTTCTTGTAGCTAAACAGGATGATGACTGAACACTGTCATATTAAAGCCCTGTGTTGTTTCTACTGCTTGTTGCTGGCTCTAGACATGAACATTATTTAGCACTTGATATTTTTCATAGTATTTTGATATGGTATATACTTTAATATCCTCTTTTAGAGTAGATATAAAGCTAACTACAAATATACATTTACTGTTCTCAGAATAATAAAACACTGTAGCCTACGCAAATTTTCTCACATTCTTGGGAGTAAGACATATTTTTCTTAAAGATGGCTTCTTTTTCATAATTTGAAATAGTGAACAGAGAAAGCATAAAGCGGACCAAAAGAGGAAGGAGAGGTGTGGCATGTCTCACAGACTTAAAAGAAAAATCTGAAGTTAATACATTTTAGGAGAGGTATCAGCATGTAAAATATTTTAATTTTAGTCAGTTTGAGTATAGATATGATTATTTCGAAACTAAGACTTATTTGATAACTGATTATGAAGATATATTGGTATATAGAATAATCAACTAATATATTGAGTCAAAGTATTTTATTTTTATTAATCTCATGTATCACTTAATTTTTTGATTTTAATCAATGTACATGCTTCTTTTTAATAGGGAAGAAGAATTTGATGAGTATTTTCAGGATTTGTTTCTGTGAGATGGGAGAAGAGAAAGTCTACAGTTCCTTAATGTGAAAGTACACACTGACTCCTGTGAAGGCTGCACTCCAGCTGCTGTTTGAGTGGCTGGTCTGTCAGGATAAGGGCAAGGTCACTGGCTGTGTCTCAAACCCTTTCCTCTGTCATCTGTCATCTTTCAGTTGCTCACCTGCAAGTCTGTTTTGTCTATAGCTCTTTGATACATGATATACTACTTTAAGTGGCATTTAAACATGACGTGATTGGCATTAAACTGCAAAATAAATGATTTAATGTCTTATTTTAAAATGATTAGTTTTTTCTTGTATTAAACAGTTGTTATCCATCAATCCTACAAATGATGTCTTACATTTATAAGGCTTCTGTCATATATGGGGCACTGTGCTGAGCATTGCTCTAAAGGAGCATCTAGGAAATGATTTTGCAATAATTTCTGAACTATCAGAAAATAGTAAATTAATGTCAGATTTATTAATGTTAAATATTGTGTTAGCACTCCCTTAGTTCTTAAAGGTGTTGTTTCTTCATCTCACAGGTGATAGTGAGTAGAAAGGAATCTTGATTCTGAGGGAAATTATTGGAAATGCCCAACACCAAAGTTGCTGTTAGTAGTGGAATTCATATTGCTAAGCATTCTTGATAAAAATATATTCAAATATACTTATAGTATAGAGGTCATCAGAAAATAGGATTCCCATGAAATTAAATGGTAATTAAGAAGACTTACCTATACATCATTTTAAAATAGAACATATATTTTGGAATGCAAGTATGGTTTATGATATCAAGTTCATTTATGAATTCAGATACTTATATAAAAATCACAGTAGCCTGCGTAGTGGCAGACAACAAAAGTCATATTCTGAGGAGTCTTTGGAATCTTCTGAGATGACGTTTGGACATTGGTTCCTACACCTACTTCACGCTTTGGCTCATTGCAGTCAGGATACCAGGCCCTTGGTCGGGAGGCTGTAAGGTTGTGCTTTCTTACACTGGCTCTGAAGCCAAGTTCATGTATCTGAGACCTGCAGTAGATATGCCACTGGTCTTGATTCAACTTCTAATGACTAAGGAGGGGAGGTTATTTGAGCTGACATTTTGGGGTCAAAAATGACAAAAAAATTCTTACTCGGTTGTTAAAATAATAGTGATTCCAGAAGGAGAGTCTTAAAAGTATTTTAAGTAAAGGAAAGAAAGGATGCATGAATTCCTTACCCAGAGGATCGCCTAGTCAGACCTAGTAACTTTTCATTTCATTCATATTTACTGAGTGCCTACCCTGTGCCACACACTACTGTAGGTACCAAGATGGAGAGCTGGGAACTTGACTTTCCAACATGAGAGGCAAAGGTGTAAAAGTATAATGAATGGCAATTTATTTCTTGGCTGTTTAAAACTGGGCTGGAGAGATGGCTCAGTGGTTAAGAGCACTGGGTGCTCTTGCAGAGGACCTGTGTTTGGTTCCCAGCTCCTACATGGTAGCTAACAGTAGCTGTCTGTAACCCTAGTTCCAGGGGATCCAATGACCTCTTCTGACCTCTGCAGGCAATATAAATAAATAAATTTTAAAAATAAAAATAATGAATGATTAAATAATAGAAAGAAAATTGAGGGGCTGGAGAGATGGCTCAGCAGTTAAGAGCACTGACTGCTCTTACAGAGGACCAGGGTTCGATTCCCAGCACCCACATGGCAGCCACGAACCATCCTTAACTCCAGTTCCAGGGGGATCCGAAG